CAGCTGGATGTCATTTAGTTGTACATTCCAAAGATTTCTCCCTCATGGAGACAGCTTAGAAAATTATTTGTAATAACAAATCTGCAACGAATGGGAAGGATATAATGTTGCAGTTGGAAAAAGCAATTGACATTCACTTGCCAGGAAAAAAAACGAAACCTTCTCTTGTGTTGATGAAAAGTTATTGGAACTACAAATGTCTTCATGCTGGTGCATAGCAGAAGGCTTTTACATGAGAATTTGCACAGGTTAAAGTTCCTAGTAAACTCTAAACCAGGAAGTTCAATGTAATGCAATTCATTCTACACTGTGATTTCTCCACACACCTTTCCAAGGTCAAAGCAAGGTTAAAATCAGATTCACTGCAGTGTTAAGGAAACAAACATCCCATTCTATTGTGTTCCTAATATCAAATGTATGATGACTATTGTTATGGCTCTGGCATTATTAGTACTGTCTTTGTTTTACTAGAAAGCCTATCTGTTTGAAGTTGGAGAGGCACTGGGTGGCACTGCCCTTGTGATCAGAGTCACAGCTTTGGGTGTTGCTTGGATGTCTCAATGCTCAGTCCAATGGAATTCAGTTTCTTAGCTAAAAGCCTCCTCATAGTGTTTTAACTCTTTAACACAGTGTAACATAGCCACAATTTGTGTCTGACTCTGCTATCTCTATTTTAGCCTGAGTACTTTCATTAGTCCTTTGGATTCTTTGTTTTATAGACAATTCTATGTCTCCCTTTAGTTCTCCCATTGTAATAGTGGACAAACTCCTAAATTAGCTAATGTAAAAATCTCACATTGAACATCTATTTCTAGTCTTATGAACTTCCCACATGTAGCTAATCTCCCCCGATACCTTATCAGTTTTTCTTTTTATCTTTAATGTTTAACAAACTCATATAATGGTAAAGGAAACTGATGAGTGGGGTACTCAACTGTATCCTCAACCACATGCAAAAACAGTGGATTTAATTGTCTTTTAGAGTACTTTGGTCTGGTGATGTGTCTAAGTCTCCACTAGGTTCTTCATGGACCTTTCATCCCATAATTCACAAAGGTTTTGTTGACACTGGAGATTAAGTAGACAGACAATACATTTGCAAGGTACCTCTGAATATTTTAGTGCAATCCTACCTTCATTTCCACCTTTGTAGGGTCACAGAGCTGTTTCTGTAGTCTGAATGTTTATGTCACACAGGTTCCATCTGTGTGATGACATTTATCGGTGTGTTGGCATTCAATGGTGGCATTCAATGGTGGAATATTTGGAGAGTGGTTAAATTATAAAGGCGGCAGCAGTATATGGATAACCGAATTGAATTCAAGCATCTTTAAGGGGTCCTTATCTCATAATGTATACCAGGACTCTCCCTCCATCCCCTTTAAAACTTATTATTTTATTTACATATTTTTCTTCTTTTTTTAGCTTAAAGATCCTTTGTGTATATATTACAGCTTCTGGTTTAGGGTTTTGATGGGATTCCTCAGTGCCAATGAGTGAGCCTTTCTTTTTTGTGCCTTCTCTTGGGATGTTTTCTTTTTGTTAATCTTTATATATTATATTATTATTGCATGTTGTTATTATCCTATGGAAGCCTGACTGTTTTCCAATGAGAGGAAGGAAAGGAGTAGATCTGGATGGAAGGGGAGGAAGAGAGGAGCTGAGAGGAATAGAGGAAGGAGCACCATTACCAGGATATATTATATGAGAAAATATCTATTTTCAGTAAACAGAAAAATAAAACAAAAACCATGAGGGCACAATCCTTTAGGGAGGGATTTATTGCCTTGTGAAAGAAGGGAGGAGAGACAACTCAAACAAATGAGCAGGAGGGAAAGGTGGCCTTTGTGGACCAGATGGAGAGCCTTCACCAAACACAGAATCTGTTTACTCCTTGAATTGATTTTTAGCTTGATCTTCAGGATTCTTTGGAATAAATATTCTGCTGCAGTGAGCCTCTGGGCTCCTGGTAACTTTGTCATAACAACCCCAAAACATCAGAAGAGCTGCTAAAGTCACCAGTGGATTCACTGTCATTCCCTGAGGAATCACATGTCTCTCTGAGTATTGAACGATCCAACAGGTATATCATTATAAACTACTCAAGACCCCATGGCAGATATTTTATCCTGTCTTCCAGGAGGCTTTGGTTCTAGCTTTGCCTTAGGGACCCTTCAAATAGGGTTAGATCCAGGATCTTCCCTTTTTGTAAGTTACACTGTCGCTTTCTATTTTAATTGGCATGCAGGCTTTATACAATAGTTTATCCTGCCCTTCAAAAAATCATGCAGATGTTCTAAATTGATATTTTAGACAAGCATTGTCTATACCTATAAAAAACGAGAGGCTGAATCAGTGTCTTAAAAATCCTGAGAACCACAGAAGTATTTATGTGTGAGTGTATACCTTTAAAATAATTACTTCACGTCAAATAATTTGCTAGCAATTTATTAATAGTTTTGAGTTTCAGTTTTATATGAAAGTAACTTTTCTTATTTTCACAGAAGAATTTTGGAAAAGCAACGAATAAACATCACTTGCTGAAACCACATTAAGGAGGAATATATCTGAATAAATTGAAATAAACTATGTTGATAAACTGTAGCATCTTTAGGACCTGGTTTTACAAATATAGAACTGCCTCTTTTCTCTTCAATATTTGAAATATATCCATAAATATATTTTATATGGGATGATTAAAGAGAAGTAGCTGAAGGCAATATATTATTACATCTGTATAGTAAAAAGAAAAAAATCCATGAAAATCTATCACCTATCTATATCTAAGTATCTACTTCTGTATTTTAGGATAAACTACAACAAATGTTTTCCCCTCTGTCATTATAATTATATTCATAAATTACATAACCTGTTGAATGTTAAAGCCTACGATTCTAATCATATTATAGCACACTTATCCCTTCCATTATACAACTAAAGAGCACTTGTAAGAATTTACCTATATGATGCACTTGATAGGCTTTCTAAATTTCTGATTTAATAGTGCTACTATGGACAAAGCATTCTTGAAAGATTGTTTAACCAACATTGCCCATTAATTTTCTCACATCCTATTTTGCCTCAACATTATTCTAACTGGAAGTTTTTAAAAATTCCCTTTTAAAACTAAACCATTACATTAAAAAAATCACACAGAAAATGAATAGATTTAATTACATAAAAATAATTGATAGTATTTAACAAAAGATATGATAAATGAATTGAACAGATGGATAGCCCACAAGCGAAGATAGTTTTACTCTCTGACATTATGAACCTCTAAGGTAATTATTCAGTTTCCAAGAAGCATTTATGTGAAAATTTCTGTGTGCCAAACCCTAGGTTCTGTGCGTAGGGGAGAAAACTACATAAGATTTATTCTTTTGATGATTATTTGTCAACTTATAAAAAACGTTTCTTAACGTATGACCACAAATGTTTGAACACTTCTTTAAATGGTGGGGTCGTCCTGCCCTTCTCCCAGTTCCCAAATTGAGTTCCAGAATTTCAATCCCATTGTCAAACCTCAAGTGACTGCCTTGTAATACATGCTGGACATGAACTATAAACTACTGTGGTCAGAAAAAATGACTTCTAAATTCGTGGACCACATGAAGAAAGAGTTTTAATATTTTTCTTCTCATGCCTTTAAATCTTGGACTATTTTGATACTGCAACAGAAAACTAGTGCAGGCGCAAAGAGCACTAAAAATTTAATGACCCACTCTATGATTGGAAGAATGGGCAGAAAATTTCTTCTTGTACTTGATATATCAACTCGATCTTGAATGAAAATGAAATATGGGAGAAAGCTGTGGCATTCACAGCATATTTCTAAAACGCAATATCATATAATTTTAGCCAGCATTAATGTGCCTTAGCAAAAACGAAGAAAAGTATCAATATTGGTTTTTTAAAAAAATCTTCTACAAATCTTCCATCTTTTAAAAAATGAGAAATTATCCTGCTCAACAAACACCTGGAGAAAAAAGATAACACTATTCCCAGAGATAGTTATGAATATGTGACAAAGCTGAAGATGTTGATTTATAGAGCATTGCTTTTCAAGGTGTTTCTATGATATCAATGCCAAAAACTCAAAGAAGACTAGATATAGAAAATAGTCATCTCCCTATAGGTGGAAATCATTACACATAATGCCCATGGATCATAGAGTGAAAAGAAAGGTAATTTCCCCAGATACTGTCTTAAGGAAAATTCTAATTTTTCCATGGAGGAAGATAGACTTTGTGAAAAACACTCATATGCATATATTACTAATTAACTATAATAGTCGTTACTAAGTAGGATTCTATTCCTCGATACAAACATGTTCTCTCTCTTTTTCTTCTATTTGTGAAGTTTAAGAATGCCTCTAGGTTGAAGTGAGAGGGAAATTTTTTTCCTGCTACGTACTTTCAAAGCATTAGAGAAATGTGCAGGCTTATATGTTAATCCTATGAAACACAAGACCACTTTGCTGACTTCTGTAATAATGGCTTGACTGTTGTGGAGATAACCAACTGTCTTCTGATGAGATTTGAAGCCCACTATACGGAGAGAAACCCACAACTACACGTTAGCCCTGCTAACAAATCAGGACATCTGCCCAAGTAGGGAAAGTTATTGCTATTATTTAAGTAAATCCATACATTGTGAAACTGTTTATAAATACTTATGCTTATGATGATAGACAACAGCTTCTCTGAGCCTTTGGCAGAGAGCATCCTTACTTTTAATGGCACCAAAAGCATAGAATGAGGAATGTCCAGTAACTCTCAACAATAATGGTCACCCACACTGTGTTCACAAAGGACTTATAAGTCATGGAATGGAGTGTCTCACAGGGCCCTGCCCTGTAAGTCTGAACTATTGGGTACTTATAGATACTTGGAAGGTAAGAGTAATGGTCCTCCCATTGTGTACCCACTGCTGATTTTTCAAGGCTCCAATAGAAGATTCCAAACAAACGAGGGCACCTAGAAATGACAACATAAAATTGATAGGTGTGAAAATGAGAGAGAGAGAGAGAGAGAGAGAGAGAGAGAGAGAACTAGTAAGAGTGAGAGCACAATCAAGAGAGATTGTTATTTGTAGGGAGGAACTACAGTGGACAGTGTTTACAGAAAGATGAGAAGGGGCCTGACTGGCAAGGGGGCTAGAGAGATGGCTCAGTGGTTAAGAGCACTGACTGCTCTTCCAGAGGACCCGGGTTCAATCCCAGCAGCCACACGGCAGCTCACAGCTGTCTGTAACTGTGAGGTTAATCCAGGCATTTGGGAAAGCAGAAGCAGGAGGAGTTCAAGATTGGCCTGGCAAACAAAGCAAGTTACAGGACAGTGAGGACTTCACAACGAAACTCTGTCGAAAAAAAAAAAGAAAAACCAAAAATCAACAACAAAAGAATTGTCACTATATGTTGTCTACATATGTGTGAAATTATGCAATAATAAAATTTAATTATGGGATAGAGATGCAGAATGTGAAAGACACAAAGAATAAATGAAAATAGTTAAAAAAACTCTAAGTATTATGATACCTAAAAATCCATAACACCTGGGCATTTTCAATAAATTTTAAGTTACTAAGTTTAGATGATTATACTTACAAGAAGCAACAATAATAGAATTAACCACCAGGTATGCTGTTAAATTCTCTTCTAAATGAAAAAGCAGCAAGTATAAATGTGATCCAATTAATTTTACTTAGTATTTATTTTCTTTTTCTGCCTATATAATCTTTACAAAAATTCACTTTTTAAGGATATTCTTTTATTACATAAAATATGGCATTTCTTATGATTTCTTTTCCTAAGCTAAAATAAGTTATACAAGAGAGTTATGATTTCTCAGAGTTTGGGTTTTGTATATAAGTTGTCATGGGAACATATCAGTGTGAGAACTTGTCCATATTTTACTCAGACATTGATCACTAGATTACTGTTTTAAAAGATAGAAAAGAAGCTTTCATCATTTCAAATACATTTGGAACATATGCTATGTGCCACACCCTAAGGATACAGTGGTGAATTGATGATGTTAACATTTTGCTTCTTATGTGAAACAGTCCATCTACTGAAACAGTCAGTGCCACACACATGTGCACAAAGGAGTCAATGACACACATGTGCATGATGGAGTCAGTACCACACACATGGTCATAGGTATGCAGGTGCACACAGCACACAAACAAATACTTGCAAAATACGAAAGAAAATAAAATGATTACCACGAGGGAAATGCTGAATTACACATATCAGAAGATCATGTACTTCTTCTGTGATCTGGAGGAGAACATGCTCCCATCCAGAAGGATGAGAGAAGAGGATACCTGAGATCACACCAGCCATTAACACTGGTCAGAGAAAAGTGTAAAAGTGTCCTTGGAGAGTGTGCTCTGGTAGAATAGGGGGTAAGAAGCTAATGTAATTTAGTCATTGATCCAGGACATGTCAGGGATAATGACAGAAAGACACACACACAGAAAGTTGGGGGGAGAGAGAGAGAGAGAGAGAGAGAGAGAGAGAGAGAGAGAGAGAGAGAGAGAGAGAGAGAGAGAGAGAGAGAGAGAGAGAGAGGGGCTTGGATCAGGTGTGCCAAGTGATCTGATTGAGACATACTAGCAGCCCAGAATATTTTACACATACCTTGGGGAGAGAAGAGGGGTTTACTGTACACAACTAAAAGACGAAAGAATAGATGGGTTTATTATTTATAGCTGAATGAAGAGAAGGGTTATCAAGAGAAGTCTTTATAGGGGAAAATTTCTAGTTGCAGTCATCACGGAAGAGGAAGCTGCAGTTAATATTTTCTGCATATTCTGGTCTTCACTAATAGTCAATGATACATAGTATCTATACATGGCCAGAGGAAGGCTTTGCCATTTCTTTGAGCCTGGTCCGTGGACAGATATATTAGGTTTGCTGACATCATAATGCTTATGTAAGTGATAAACATTCACTCAGGATTTCATGCACACCCCACAGTCAGTGTTTAGTTAAATTAGGAAAAAATAATCTGCAGTCCTTAACAAATGTACAGGAATTGGTAAAATTACTACTCATTATTCTTGTCATCCAAAATAATGTAGTATTCAACTCTCAAATTTTGTGTGTAGGTATCTTGCAAGCATTGTGCCCTCAGAACAACAACAAACAAAAACCATAGTATTTGAACATTTCTGGGTCTTGATGCTTGACAATTATCTCTGAATTGGCAAAATTACCTGAAATCTATATTTATTATTTACCTTAATTGAGAATCTTGAGAAACATCCCCTCCTATCCGATATAGTATCAGTATACGTTTGCTATAATACTACAATACTCCCAGCAAGCAAGGGAAAAGGAGTAAGAGAGGAAGTAAAAGGGATGGAGGGAGAGAGAAAATAGTCAAATTGTAGTTTGCATGGTCATTCATAGTAAGTGCAATGCCACCAAGTAATTGCTTATGGCAATTGCTAATGTGAGACTGCAATTCTAGAATCTCTTCTTGGTTAGCCGGGAGGTTTCCCATAAGGTATAACACTTTCTAATAGTTTAAACAGTGTGATAAGACATTACCCTGTTCTTATTTTCCATTTAAATTCCCATCCATTTCCCTGACTAATGTACTTTCCAGGCAAATGTTGAGTCCCAGGCAATGTTAATAAATTTGAACATCTCTGTGCTCTTGAATATGACTGTGAATAGAACACAAGTCACTAGATGATGAATATGTTCAGTGAATTGCAAAATACACAGATAAACAACATGTATTGTGTCTCTAATGAAGTTTGGCTAATGTGTGTTAGGCATTAGGTAATGTATTTTAACTGTCTACACTTGTAAATGTACTGGCTCATCGCAGTCTGCAATAGAAATCGCTTATTTGGATCATATTACTCATTAACTATATTCTTTACAGAGGGGCCAGTAAATCAATTGTAGGCTATGTATTTTTACACAATTACTAAATGAACTTTTAGCATATTAAGTGCTAGTCATATAATTCCAATAATATTAAAGTAAGAAAACTGCCTACCATAATAAAGTAACATTTTATGGATGTTCTATGAGCCAAGAAAAGTTTGGTTTTGGTTCATTTACTAATTCTTCCACTACCTGTATTGGCACGAGTTATTTGCTGTTGCATTTACTACCATGGGTTCCATACCTTAATCTTTCTCAATCTATTTCTTATTCACTGTTTCAGCTTGTCTTTGTTCTCATGATTCTACCCACTCTACTGGAAGAATCTTCTCATGCACCCCTCATTAACTGTTAAATTGAATTTTATTTAAGACCACACTCTATTATTTTCTCAGCAAAAAAATCAAACTTTTCCACATATCTCCACATTGCACCAAGAAAACATGTTCCTGTAGTGACTATTAGTGTTCAAAGCTTGCAATTATTTGTATAGTATGAACACCTAATTTTAGAGTCATCCTCTGTCATCATAGATTTTATGTATCCTTAAAAAAAATCTGTATCTTGATTCCCTGTAGTAAATTGAAATAAGTCACAAAATGCTTGATAATGGAAGGATGAAAGGAAGGTAGAAAAAGAAGAAATTGTCTACTTATATTTGAAGTTATTACTTTGAGCTAGTCACTGTGAACTTAGCTATGTCATTGTTCCCTTTCAATGAATTTCTGGCAGAGTCCTCCAAGATCTCTTGTTGAATTAAAATGAATTAGTCCAAACGAACCCCTGCCAATTTCAGAATGGAGTCTAATTGTTAAACTGCATCAAGTATACATCTTTTGTTTGTTAATGCCTTGACTTTCTGACAGTAAAAAAATTTGCCATATTGCAAGAAAGGTCATTTGTCAACCATTCTCAGTTTAGAACTTTGTTCAGTTTTCAGTAACACAATGTTGTTCCTGCAACAGAAGGGCTTAGTTAAGTGAAGGTGGCCTTATTTAAAAAAAAAACAGATAAGAAAGCCAGTTTGTATAGGTAGGCATCATGGACACAAAACAAGAACGGGATGGTTTACTAATGCCCTTGCCACGGTCTGATCGGGCCTCACTTCTTAAGTAATACAGGGGTGTTGTGAATTGTTCTGTTGAATCCCATGGACATCAGTTCCCTATGATGACTGAAAAAGCACTAAAAGGATGGGTGTGTATTGCATTTAATATGACTATTGGCACCAGAAGGATTCATGCTGGCCAACAGCATTATTGTTACCAGGGACGTGTTATGAATGGAGAAACTCTGGACCTCGCCTCAAATCTAACAAGAGAGTGTGTGAGTGTGTGTGTGTGTGTGTGTGTGTGTGTGTGTGTGAATGAAGTTTATAGAAATATATATCATCTAGGCAGTAGTGGTGGTGCATGCCTTTAATCCTAAAACCTGCAAAGCACGGGCAGGTGGATCTCTGAGTTTGAAGCTATGAAGCGAATCACTGTCTTGAAAAACAAAAAACCAAAACTATACAGATTATATTTGTTTTGTTTGTATATATAAGTAACACACATAATAAATCTACAAGTCCCAGATGACTATAATTCTGTGTCATTAAGCCAGGAATATTATTTTAGCCATTAAATGTATCTCCCTTTTAATCTATTATTAATACCCCCAATGAATAACCTGAAATAAATTCATGTCCATCTATGTTAAGTTTAAAATGACAAGTCTATAAAATTGGTGATCAGTTCTGGGGAAATAAAACAAAAATTGAGCACACATCCTGTCATTGGAAAAGTACATGTAGGGCAGCAAATACAATGGCTTCTTGTCTGATACAATTCTGGGTTATGCCTGATGTGTAAAGTTGATTGATAACTGGGCACCCTTCAATTTGTGCACTGTGCTTGTTTGTATGACAAATTATATTGTTACTCTGTCTATAAATAAACTAAAGAAAATAAATGATTGATGGTTGAAGCATATACAGCTATAGTTTTAGGACATAAACTGTTTCAGAATTTCAATTGTATGCCTTTCTGTATTGTCTAGGTCATGAAATATTAAGTCTAAAATTCATATTAGTTTCTGGCAGACCTTGAGTAGACCATGAAGCTCCTAGATCATTATTATGTCAAATATTGTTCACTCTACATCTGGAGTTTTTCTGAAAGTATTTCAAGAATCCTTGGAAAATAAAGATAAAAGATGCAGACATGAGGAGCATAACCTCCATGAGAACTCAGAAACCTATCAGCATTTAGAGTGTAAGGCATATTCTAGAAGCAGACTCTATGCTGGAGGTTAGAAAATTTGAAGTAACAGTCTGTGGATTGGGTAGACCAGAAAGCTCTACTAAAAAGCAGTCCCAGAAGATCCCATGGGTAACTTTGTAGTTGATATTTTTAAAATTAAATAGACTTTGAAATCAGGCCAGACTCATCTATGTAAACAATAATTGGAA